AAAGTAAGGTTTATCATTAGTTGTGTCTGTAAAACTTGAAAAAAAAAAAACTTTTTTTTGGATTAGACAGCTGTGGCATGCACTAAAATCTAAACGCTACTAAACAATGAGATATTTTGATTCACAAATTCAGGTATAAACAGCAGATGATTTGAAAATTTTACTTTTTTTCGCATGACTAATAGTTTCAACTTGCAGGAAATCAACAGCAGGTTATAATTTAACCAAACTTTTTGTCGGTTCTCAGGGAACCCTTGGAGTGATAACCCAAGCAGTAGTAAAATTGCATGCAAGACCAGCAGTTTGTAGTGTTGCAGTCTGCCCATTTTTAACCGTGAACAAGGCTGTTGAAGCAGCTGTTGGCACACTTCAGTGTTCAGTACCAATTGCAAAATTAGGTATTCATTAACATGCCATATATCACTCCATCTCTGCGTTTAATACAGCTTACGTTCTATATAAATTTAAATATATTAATTGAAGACGGTTTGATATGATATATTTTTAACAAAAGAAATACTCGTTTTCGAAAGTGTTAGGAGAATTATATCTCTGAAATTTTGTAGTTGATTTTTGATATTTCACAGAATTTTTGGATGCCAATGCGATCGCTGCTTGTAATAAATATAGTAAATTGACACTTACTGAATCACCATCTCTTTTCGTGGAGTTTCATGGTAGTTCTGAAGCTGAAGTAGCCGCGCAAGCAAGTCTTGTTGGTAATTATTATAGAAATTTATAGTTCTCTTCAAGTTTGAAATTCATTCTGTTTATTGTTAGTTCACAGTTAAGAAATTTTTCAATATGAGCTAGAAAGTTCTCTGAAAAAATTTGCAAAAAAGGTTAGCAATTTGCAAGTTTGTCAAAAATTAAATAATTCATCAAACAGTAATGCGTGCTTGATAATTTTGGGAGAAATATTTGCTAGCAACGATGGTACTCAATTCACTTGGCTGCATGCACTAGAAGAACAGAAAAAACTTTGGATTGCTCGACATTCAGTACATAATTCCATCTTGTCTTTGAAAGATAATGTTAAAGCAAGTAAGGTAGATGCATTTTTATTTTATTGGTGCATTTTTGTAATTTGCATTTTTGTGATTATGGTAGACACTGCTATTTCTTAGTGTTTGCGAACTTAGTTTTTACAAATTTTTTCTCCTCAACAAATCAATAGCAAGATATAGCTGCATACTGAAAGCAATTATTATTTCTTTTATTTTAAAAAATCAACGTTGACTGTGTAGTTATAAGAAAACATCGCTAATTAAAATATATTTTGTATTTTTTTTTTGATTTAATTCAACTTTATTTCTAATTATTGCTAATTTAGTGTCTTACTACTGACGTCTCTGTACCAATATCGGCGCTATCACAAATTATTGCTGAAACAAGACAAGAAATTGATCATTCAGGCATTTTCGGTTTGATTTTTCAGTTTTTAAAAATCTTGTTGTAGTCCGTGTCGTTGTTATTAGCTGTAATCCAAGTAATGTTTTAAGCATATTTGTAATTTTGTGTAATATATACAGATCATTATTTTGAAGCTTATCTTCTTTTGCTCTGTCATGACACTGATTTACTCTAAACTTGTTTTTGCTTACAAAACTAATATATTTTTTGCTTTTGTATAATTATAGATATTTTGTAGCTAGCACATGCTTTATTATTTATTTTTGATGGTGTGTTTTAGGAGCAGTAGTCGGTCACGTAGGTTTTGGTCACTTTCGCTGCATTTTATTAGCTGATGACTCCGATGAAAATCAGAAAAGAGTCATTATGGAATTATTCGACCATACTTATAGGTATCTTTCTTATAAATAATTTGGAATTATACTTGCTTTCTTTTTTCTCCTGTTGTAGAAATTCTATGTAAGAAAATATTGAAGAAAATTTTACGACTTAAATATCAAGAAAATTTATCCAGTAACGGTATTGTGCTAAATACTACTTCAGAATCTAACAAATTAAATTAGATTAAAGTTTTTGAACTATTTAAATTTACAAAATTATGATCATAGATTTATTGTAGGCGCGCGCTCGCAGTGGGGGGATCATGTGCTGGTGAATTTGGGATCGGAATTGATCAACGAAAATATTTGAAAACTGAACGTGGGGAAGTCGGCGTGAATACAATGATTGCCATTAAAAAAGCATTGGATCCAAATGGAATAATGAATTCCAAAAAACTCTTCATGGAGATCTGAACTTATTTGAATGGAATTGTATTAGTTTAAAAATTTTTCGTATATCTAGTGGATAAACTAAGCATTAGTAAAATCTTGATGTTAGTTAACCGGTTTTTTGAAAAAGCTTGTGCAACACTTCATCTATATTTTCAAAGTTCTCAATTTTCGATCCATTGTAAATGCTTGATAACATTTTTATGTGATGCTGAGATGCTTATGTTT